TTTACAAATTATGTAAGTACACCTAATAGGCTATACTTCATTTGTTCCAGTTTTACAGTTGTGATATCGTGAGATGTTATATTGTGACCTTATTTTAGGCCTGTGTAAGGCGGTAATTAATTCTTTATGTTATTGTCATTAAGTGGATAATGAGTCACAAAACAAATAATCAAAACATTTCAGAGGTGGGGGCGCCAAAAGTGTCTTTGCCCCAGGGTGCTGAGAACCTTTGCTACGCCACTGCTGGTAAAAGATGCACTATAAACATTATTACAATGTTGTAGTACCAACTACCAAGGAGTTATACTGGTAAAACATCTGTGATGTTACACCGTGCCTCGTATGGACTGCTGCGTAATCGATATTTAGCGCTTAATAATCCTGGGTAGGTGAAATACTGGTAAAACTTTTAAATTTAGTCGGTCTCATTTTCGAGACCTGTAAAACATCGAGACCCAAATGCTCCAAGACCGAGACCTTCCGAAGGGTGGTCTCGAGACCGATTTCGAGCTCGAGACTTACAACACTGATACAGTTGTAACAATAAGTTAATAATCGCCATGGTGCACGTATCATGCCTGCCATATAAACATTAAACATCCACTGCCTGCACAGCTATATACTTATGCATGTACAATAGATTATGAGGCTTCATATAAACCACAGACTACATTAAAACGATTGGGTATCAACAGCTATACATCCGCTGTTATTCGCTAGGTAGTCAAATAAACTTAAGAACTACGCTACACAATGCGCAATGATGCATTTAGTAGTACCAGGTTTTATTACAATATTCACAGCCATATTTGCTGTAGGCTGGGGGAAAATATTAAATAATAATAAAGAAGAACAAATGGGCGCTCCCTATTATGAACCGCTACTGTGATTCATGAAATTTATAAGGCTAAATTGCAATGAGGAAGTTAAAAGTATCAAACATACTAAATATATTTCTTAAGTTCTGTTGACTTTCGATTATATATTTGATTTTCTGTTTGTTTTTGCCACTTCGTCTTTATTGTTACCACTAACTTTGAAATATATTGTTTTCATCATAAATATGTATTTGATTTTTTATGTCTGGAAGATGTAGATTGATAAATTACGTTTAATACTTTGGTTTGCGCGCAGTTTCCTCCATTACGTTTTATCTAGGTAGACGATTCAATAACAGACTGTTATAACAAATTTCTGCTGTTCCCTTCATGCTAGACTAGAGAGTGGTATAAAATCTCGATATTCCTGTTATGAATGATACATTTAACATTCGAACATAGTGTGTGTCGACTCATGAATACATTTATATATATGGACTCAAGTGTTACTAATAGAATTTCCAGTTTGATTTTGACAACGATTTTTAAAAGACAACCTATTTTGACCTATAAAATGCAATTACTCTCAAAAAGTATTTTGAGAAACAGTGTGTATTACACGAAGACATAGAATATTGAAAACAGTTTTGTAACACATTTCTGTTCATGTTAACAAATTATCTTTATCCAGGTGTTACTTACCGTGACAAGGATGTGAATTCGTACATTTGACATAAGCGTCATGATCGTTCAAGGTTCAAGGGCTAGTAAATTTCTACGTCGTGCCAAAATGCATGACTGATAAATGAAAAAAAGAAAATTATACAAATCCTTATTCGTCATTGCAGTGTTATAAGGTGTGGAAAATCGAAATAAACAATGTATTATGACTCTAAATTATTGTGTATAAATTCTATTATAAACCAGAAAGTTGAAAAGAGAAATAGAGAACAGATATTCGTCTTATCCAAGATGTTTCTTTAAGTTTGCAAGCTTTATTAGACAAGATTTATTCCATATTTTGTGACATAAAAAACAAGTAATTTCTCATAACTGTCCATTTTATAATTTTTAAGGATTTTCTGCTGCTGTCGCCATAAGGGATAACACAAGATAGAGAACACTTGGTGTTATCTCGTAAACTGAAAGACGTACTCCACAATAACGTATGTTTTTTCCAGCTATTTCTCACATTATCCAGAACATAACCTTGGGATAAAATCAGCTGATATGATATGACGATATTCTTTGATTAAGGTACGAGAAATTTTCCATCCCGCGAAGAGCTATACTATTAGGGTTGACTTTTATCTACCCTGTGTTCACATGTAAAATCAACATATAGTAGATTTCGAATAATCACTATGTCTCTTTTTTTTTGTAATTATGAACGTTTTTCTTCGACACATAGGAATAGACAAATTTGGTAAAAACGAGTCTCGAAAAGCTCAAAGAATTACGTTGCATTGACAAGTGTAGCGTGATAATGCAAAATATACTCGTCCAATTGGTAGGTAAATTAGGCACAATAAAAATAGTAGGTTATTAGAAAATGTATGTAGAGTACAGATAAGTCAAACTCGACAAAAAAGAAAATAAATTGACATAGTTGTTTCATTTTGAAATATATATATTTTTTTTTACAAATATATAAGTAACTAGTAATGTTTGTAACTTTCCAGGTTGTGGTCGGACTCATTGTTTACAGGATACAACAGTAATATTTGTAGCTTTCCTGGCTGTGGTCGGACTCATTGTTTACAGGATACAACAGTAATGTTTGTAGCTTTCCTGGTTGTGGTCGGACTCATTGTTTACAGGATACAACAGTAATGTTTGTAGCTTTCTTGGCTGTAGTCGGATTCATTGTTTACAAGATACAACAGTAAGTAAACAATGAATCCGACCACAACCAGGAAAGCTACAAACATTACTGTTGTATCCTGTAAACAATGAATCCGACCACAACCAGGAAAGCTACAAACATAAACAATGAATCCGACCACAACCAGGAAAGCTACAAACATTACTGTTGTATCCCGTAAACAATGAATCCGACCACAACCAGGAAAGCTACAAAAATTACTGTTGTATCCCCAGGATACAACAGTAATGTTTGTAGCTTTCCTGGCTGTGGTCGGATTCTTTGTTTACAGGATACAACTTCCGGCAACTGCTCTGATTACCACACCAAGGGCAATTCCGAATAGAATTCTAGCTTTACTCGGAACTGTATTCAAGTTCTGCCAGGGCTTCCCAAAATGTCATATTATCCACGTCAGGTAACTATTTTCATTATTTAATAAAGGTAATGCACAGTTTCCTCTCTGTCTGTTTCTGCATTTGTCCAGAATGTCAGATGTCGTGAAAGAGCAGACACACTGGAATAATTCTGACTTTGAGTGGATTAGATCAGAATTAAACGTTGTTCACAGTTGGGTATAAGTATAATATGTTCACATCGAACGTCTAACTCAGCACTTAAAACTTGTATTAAGTATTGAAAAAATGCCTAAATACATTCGTTTTCTAGATTAAGAATGGGTTATAGCAATAATGCTTGTATACTTCAATGATATATAATATTCTTAACTCACCTAACTGTAAACGCTTATGTTATTCTTAATGCAAAAAAAACAAAAAAACTTACTCTTTGTTTGTCGTTTGTTTGCTGTTAAGTGTAACGCTATACAGTGGGCTATCTGTGCTGTGCCTATCGCGTGTATTGAAACATGAATTTTAGCATTATAAGCCCTCAAGCAGAGGCATCGGGTATCTGATGGAATTGGAAGCATTTTTTAACTACTTAGTTCATATCAGATCTAGTGGAAAAATGGTAATTAATACGCCATGGACCAGGCGTGGCCTAGTGGTTAGCAGGCTCGAACAGTAGATTTGGAGGTTTATGGTTCACAGCTAATTGCTGCAAAATATACTTCACACATTGAAGCAGCGGAGTAATGGTCATATCCCACTGTTTGGTCGGACAAGAGTTAGCGGTGGGTGCTCTTAATTAGCTGCCTCCTCTCTAGTCTATCATTTCAAATAAATTCCCAAACAAATAAATAAATACGACATTCATTCTCCTTAGTAAAAGTAACTGATTCAAAATTTTACTTCTAATTAGGGAAAGTATACTTTCCAAAAGAGTTTAAATTATCACACGCAAGGAACATTAAAGATTCTCGTTTTTTACATCGATGCTAAGATCTATAAGGGAATAGTGTTAAAACTTTTTATTTTAACCCCACTATGTAGTATTTAAAATTGATGACGAGGAACCAACTTTTAAAAAAAATTACTTTTACTTAGTAGTATGTTCACTTTTGTTCATATACTAATAAAATTTCAGAAAAATTAAGATAGAGATTATTAATTGTTGTGTACACACAAATCGGTTTAATCAGAATAATAATAGTTAATGGTAGTTGTGAATTCGAACTTAAACCAATAGGCTTTTTTTACATACATCGTAGTGGGTTATATGATCCAAAACATTTTTCTGAAGAAATCGGTTTTATTATGGTGTGATAACCATCTTATCCTAAGAAGCTAGAATGTCCCAACCTCATTTGTGGTCAATATTAATACTGATTAAACATAATATAGACGGCACCCTTTCACTGGTCTGACCCACCAGTTATATCTGCTTTCAAAAGGCCAGCCACGTTAAAATTCAATTATGATTGCGTCAAAACTGAGCGCAAGAAGTTTGATTTCCTTTGATTGACTAAAAAAAGATGCTTCCCCTGTGGTTCAATAATGAGCTTGAAGGTTTATACTGTTGGGACAGCGGAAGTCACGCGACGCTGGGAGTATGCGCGCTGGAGTTTCTAGAAGGATCGTGACTTATCGGGCAACCTCACGAATGTCCCAGCCTTTACTAGACTCCCTCTTTTTAAGTATATAAGCCGGAGATAGATTGAAGAGAAATAATTGATAATTGAGTCAAGCGAACAGTAGGCACTGTAAGTAAAAGAGTGTGAATCGCTGTGAATTATAGCGTGTGTTTATAAAAGTAGTTAAGTTAAAGTGACTGTGGAAATTCTGTGTATTGCAAAGTTGTAAAGAAAAAGAATAAACTAGTTTTAATTAAGAAAGGACTTGTATCGCTAAAGTTTCTCGGAAATAATTTCTACGGGAAATTAACAAACAAGCAGATACCCAACAATACGCTAAAACCCTGGCGAGAAAAAGCGTACTTTTGCGCTCAAACACAAACAACAAGACAAACAAACAAAAAACCATTATAAGTTTGAGGGCTTATAATGTTCAAAAATCATGTTTCGATAGTTGTGGTGGGTACAGCTCCAACAGGATATTGTGTAACTTTGCGTCATAACAAACAAACTATGAAAGGCTAATTTTTTTATAAAGAATTTTACTTATCGTATGTCTAAATACCACAAAAGAAATAAAACGCCTTTTCTGTAACTCGGTCACATCTTTCCAAAATTGATCTCAAAATGTATATTTTAAAATTGCTTATATTTTCTGATTTGCACTAGATCTTGCAGATGTATTAATAATTGAGTGTCTTTTCAATAACTGTTTACAGCACTCTGTTGATTTTATTTATAATGGTCAAAGTAGATAAAATTACCATCATGATTTAAATATTTGTCAAAAAAAAATGTTGATATTAAACACTTTACTGGGGTTATGTTTTACACCTTAGTTGTAACTGCTTACCCATTTTCTACTTTGAGCAACTATAAAATACAATCGAATTATTGTAAGTAATGCAACCTGTTAGTAACAGAATGAATTAACTGAGCGTAAAAATTACTCTGTCAAAGATAACAACAATCCTAGTGAAAATTGTTTGTTTAGACAATCATCTGTTCGGAAGCATTTTTAAATTTTAATTGTATTTACCATAACTGTTGGGAGGAATGTGAAAACAACTTATCTGTCATCGAAAAGTAATGTTGATAGTGCAGTAATGGTACAGAAGATAGTTAAAATATCCAGGCATGTAAAATTCGTTTTTTTGAGAGCACTTTACAGGCAGTAGTAAACAACTGCCTTTAGTGTACTTTTTTGAAGTTTATCTAAAAGTTAATACCTCTAAAAAGTATTATTTGTTGGCAATATTTAATGGACCTCTCAGTGAAAACTACAACAAACTTTAGGAATATAAATCACAATAATAATAATAAAATTTAATGATACCTCAACATTTCCAAGGTATTTAATATTATATAATATGAAGCTCTAACTGTTCATCATTTGAAATTCTCGTGTTTTTATTATTAAAGCTGAAATAAATATGTGCTTAACAAGTTACGATGTAAACAATCAATTAACACATATTTTGGGTTAAATGGAAATTTTAAAACGTTTTAGAAAATTGATATCTTCATTTCTCAGATATTTCAAATATTCGGTAAATACAGCGATAGTTGGAAAATCTAATGTTTAGAATTTTTTTTTTCTGAAAATTACATTGCCCAATATTTTATATTTTGTAATTACATATTTCTATTGTCTTATAGTTTAAATAAAATATTTCAGATGGCGCTACACATAAAAGAACTTTCGATCAGCTTTCTCTTATCTTCCTTACGAACTGACATTTGTAACAATAGAGTTCGAGGCAAACCACCTGCTGTGTGAACTTCACTAATCAGCAAACCAATTGAAAGCATCGTTTGTTGCCAAGCGCAAAGATCCACACCTCGTTTTTACGCATAATCTAAGATTCATAAATTAAGTAATAACTTCAGACTTATTGTATCTAGTATCGTTAACTAATTTTCCGTAAAAATTATTTCCGAAGAAACTTTACCGATACA